TGTGTGTGTGTGTGTGTGTGTCAGTGTGTAGGGGAGGGTATTAGTTCCCAGTGAGCTCTGTCAGTCTGTGTGTGTGTGTGTGTGTGTGTGTCAGTGTGTAGGGGAGGGTATTAGTTCCCAGTGAGCCCTGTCAGTGTGCGCGTGAGTGTGTGTGTGTCAGTGTGTAGGGAAGGGTATTAGTTCTCAGTGAGTTCTGTCAATGTGTGTGTGTCAGTGTGTAGGGGAGGGTATTAGTTCCCAATGAGCCCTGTCAGTGTGTGTGTGTGTGTGCGTGTGTCAGTGTGTAAGGGAGGGTATTAGTTCCCAGTGAGCTCTGTCAGTCTCTGTGTGTGTGTGTGTGTGTGTGTGTGTGTCAGTGTGTAGGGGAGGGTATTAGTTCCCACTGAGCCCTGTCAGTGTGTGTGTGTGTGTGTATGTCAGTGTGTAGGGGAGGGTATTAGTTCCCGGTGAGCTCTGTCGGTGTTTGTGTGTGTGTGTGTCAGTGTGTAGGGAAGGGTATTAGTTCCCAGTGAGCTCTGTCTGTGTGTGTGTGTGTGTGTGTGTGTGTGTCAGTGTGTAGGGGAGGGTATTAGTTCCCAGTGAGCTCTGTCTGTCTGTGTGTGTGTGTGTGTCAGTGTGTGGGGGAGGGTATTAGTTCCCAGTGAGCCCTGTCTGTGCGTGTGTGTGTAAGGGAGGGCGTGGCGGAGAGTGACACCCCCCCGGGGTAGCCTGTTACGAAGCGGGGGTGGTAATGAGAAGGACGGGCAGGCGGTAGAGCAGCAGATACAGTGAGGCTGGTGAGAGCATGGAGCCGAGCAGGAGGGGACCATGCTGCTCCTTACACATCCAGGTGAGTGCCGTGACCCTGGTGTAGTTACAGAGGGAGGGATGGTGCTTTTACTGGGGGATTCAGTGGAAGTTTCTGTCTCTGCCTGTCTAGCTGGGGAAAGTTTACAAAGTGATGCCAGAACTCGCACTTTGTGATTGGTGTTTGTTTTCTGCAGGAGGTTCTGTTGATGCTGTTTCTATTCCCGGGCAGGAGCCGGGGCACCGAGCTGGTTTACCGAGTACAAGAGGAGTCACCGAGAGGGACCTACATCGGGAACCTGGCCGCTGACCTGAAGCTGAGTGAGCCGGGAGTCACCTATAACCTGGCGTCGGGGGCCGGGTCCGCTCGCTTCGTGGATTTGAACCGGGAGACGGGGGAATTGCGGACCTCAGCGGCGGTGATAGACCGGGAGGAGCTGTGCCCGGAGCCGGATCCCGGTATCGGGGGGTCGGGTGAACCGTGCTGGGTCCGGTTTGATGTCCTGCTGCTACCCCCCCGCCTATTCCGCCTTCTCAAACTCCGGCTCCGGGTCGATGATATTAACGACCGGGCGCCGCGCTTCCCCGCCTCCAGCCTCGGACTCTCGGTGCCCGAGAACGCGGAGCCCGGCTCCCGCTACCCGCTGGAACCGGCGGCTGAGGACCCGGAGCCCGGCCTCAACGGGATGCTGCGGTACCGGCTGCAAGGGGCGGGCGCCGCCGCCTTCTCTCTGGCCCAGGAGGACGGGGCGCTCCCCGGCAAACCCGTACCTTTCCTGGTACTGGAGGTGCCGCTAGACCGGGAGTACCGGGACCGGTACGTGATGGAGCTGGTGGCGGAGGACCGGGGCAGCCCGTGCCTTTCCGGGACGGCTACCGTGACCGTGTCGGTGACCGACATTAATGACCATTGCCCCGAATTCCCGGAGAGTGAGCTCAGCTTCAGCCTGTTCTCTAACTGCTCGGTAGGGACCACCGTCACCCAGCTCCGGGCCCGGGACCCTGACCTCGGTTATAACGCCCACGTCGTCTACTCTTACGGGGAGCGGGTTCCCGGGAGCTCGTTCCGCCTCTTCAGCCTGGACCGCGGCTCCGGTACCATCCGCCTGGCCGCCCCCATCCCGGGAGACGCCGCCCCCTCCCACCGGCTCACCGTGCTGGCCACCGGTACCGGCTGTGCTCCGGTCACCGCCACCGTCAGCCTGACCATCATCCCGGTGGGTTCCGGTCCTCCCGTGCTTACCCCCCGGTACATCGCCCTGCAGGCTGAAGGCGTGCTCTACCTGAAGGAGACCGAGCCTCTCCGGACCCCTCTCGCCTTTTTCACCGTCACCGAGCACCGGCAACAGCAACCGGTCCGCTGTTACCTGGAGGGAGCGGCGGCTACTTTCCGCCTGGCCCGTTACCGTGGCCTCCAGGATGAGTACCTCCTGGAGACCGCACAGCCCCTGGATTATGAGCTCCAGCGGCGCTATGAAGTGGCAGTGGTGGCGGAGAACTCCAACAAGTTGGCTCAGAGAGTCCACCTCCAAATCCAACTGATCGACGAAAACGACAACCCCCCCATCTTCAGCAGCCCCTCGGTCCAGGTATTCATGGAGGAGAACAACCCCCCGAACAGCTTCCTCGTCAAACTGAAAGCCACAGATGCTGACAGTGGAGACATGGGGAACATCACCTACCTGCTCGGCCCTGGGGTGCCTCGCATCTTTGCTGTCGATCAGTTCAGCGGGAAATTGTCTGTATCAACCAGCTTAGACAGAGAAGAGCAAGACAGGTACAGGCTCACCATCAGAGCTGTCGATGGTGGGACACCATCCCTGGAATCTACCGCCACTGTTCTCCTCACCATCCAGGATGTCAATGACAACAGCCCCAGGTTCATCAACAAAGACTTCAATTTCTTTGTTCCTGAGGACTACCCAAGTTTTAGTGAGATTGGTGTAATTGGGGTTATGGATCCTGATGCTGGAACTAATGGCTGGGTGGCCTTGTCTATTCTTAATGGTAGTGAGCTATTTGTGATTGACACAGGCAAGGGAAACCTCATGGCAAGTGTCCCCTTGGACAGGGAACAGCAGAGCTCCTATATTCTTTGGATTCAAGCTACAGATGGAGGAGAACCTGCTCTCTCTGCCATTGCTAAAGTGACAGTGCTTCTGATAGATGTCAACGATAACCCACCATTGGTCTTGTTCCCTCAGTCTAACCTCTCTTTTCTCCTGGTCCTCCCGTCCACGGTTCCTGGGTCTTCCATTACTGAAGTGTATGCTGTTGATAAAGACACGGGAATGAATGCTGTCATTGCTTACAGCATCATTGGCCACAGAGGGCCCCGTCCAGAGACTTTTGTCATTGATGCAGGCACCGGTAACATCACACTACATGAGGCTTTGGTGAAGAATGATCATGGATTGTACAGACTGCTGGTCAAAGTCAGTGACCACGGGTATCCGGAACCACTTCACAGCACAGTTATAGTCAACCTTTTTGTCAATGAAACATTAAGCAACGAGAGCTACGTAGAAAATCTACTGAGGAAAGATCCTGGCATCAGGATAGAGGAAAGTCTACCAGAGACAAGAACTGACCCTTTTCAAACAAAACTAGATGTATTTCCATGCGAGACTGTCTTGATAGCACTATCAATTTTATGCTTTGGGCTCTTTGCCTTAGCTTTTGCATTGGCCTGCTACATTTCATTTAGAAAAAGGAAACACAGGAGAAAAAAGTACGGTGTGACAGAGGTTGAGATTCCACTGAAGAAGACGCTGGCTTCATATTCATTGGAGAAAAAGTCATTGAATGATTTAGATCTGTAGATGGTATGATATAACTGATCAACTGATTTGTTTACAAGTCATACCTGGACAGTACTTTGAAGTTACCAACATTTTGTGTTTTAAATGTGTTTGGTATGAAAAACTTCTAAGTTGCAGTGTTCCAATCTGATTAGCTATTGAATATTACACAGTATTATTTACAGATCAAAACTACATAATTTGGAGTAAGACTAATAATTTCTTTACAAAACTAAATATTTTGTTAAAAAGCATAAACTTGCACAGATGGGTCTGTGATTGATCCCAAGACTTCATTTCATAAAAACAACATGGCTGGACCTTGAAGTCTAGAGAAATGAAACAGAAAACCCAAGATGATCGCTGCTTCATTCTTTGGCTGACCAAGAGACCTCAAGCAAATAAGGTAAACCTGCAGTATCTATACTTGTTTGAGACTTGCATTTGGTTTCAATAATGAGTTGACTTTCAGATTTTATTAACTCATGAATTACTTAGTACACTGAGTTAAAATGAGTAAATCAGTCTATCATATCTTTGCATTTGATAAGTGAAAAATATAATTGACTATAAACCTGCATTATAAGACAGTTAATGGTAAGCTGGTTGATCAACCTTGTCCAATATTGGTATTCTTGTATTCTATCAATTTATTCTTCTATATTTAGTTTTAACACCTATAGCTTCTTGTATCACTCTACCAAATGTTGAGGGTAGCTAAGAGGGATTTGTCCTCAAAAAAAAGGAGCTGTAAATTGATTTATTTAAGTTATCTTTAAAATAAAACTGATTCATTGTTTTACTTTTGAGGAATATTTAACCTGCAGTCTGTCTTTTCAGGTTGCCTTCAATCAGAAACTATTGAGTGAAGCTACATAAATAAACAACGCAGCAATAATGAATGTGTAACTTCACTAGATATGATCCTGAGAATGTCACTTCTTTCCCTACACATGTCACTTTCTGACACTAAATGAGCAATACTGAACTAGAAAGACTGTCACTGGACAAAAAAAAAATCACAAGCAACTCGAAATAAGTGATTAATTGGTCTTTTTGAAATATGGGATTACATTTTAAATAGTATGCAATTACTTGAGAAGATTATGAAAACAGACTATTTGTGTAAATTACTTAATTTCTGAGCTTGCTTGTATATGTTCTGCAGCTAAAGGAAAATTCTTTGTAAATGGCTATTTATTTTTGAAATGATAACTTTGATTTAATAAAAAAACTATGTAAAAAGTCAGTGCTTTTTTCACATGTCAGTAGGTTTTCTTCTGGAGCTTGTGTATATTGTGTTTTAAAAATGGCATAAAAATATGTTTGGAATTTTAAAACAGTGAAAAACTTGAAGCAAGCAGTTGATGTGAAGCTAAACCTTTCCTCCAATACTGCTTTTAAAATATGTGAAATTATAATCAACATTTTATATTAATTATGTATGATCTATACTAGGTGCTGCAGATAGATGATGGGCAGCCCTTATTTCCAATGTAAACCTCACTGATATTTTAATCAAAACAGTTTAATCCTAGTTTGAAAAGTTGACGACTGAGATAGGGAAACTTCCTTTCCATCAGGATTTTAACTATCAAGCTGTAGCTATATTTCTACTTTCACACTGATGCAAAGATGTTTTGGCTATAGTCAGATATTAATCTTTCTCTCAAATGCAATAAAGCCATGTGACATCAGATTCCTCTGAATTTACCACAAGATAAAGTATAATTTCTGTTTCGGGTGAATTGACAGACTTAACAAAATATTTGAGTAGTCTCAATTATTTTACAAGTTTAGCATTGAAAATGCGTTATTATCAAAAAGTGGAAGCCACTACCACTTCATTTCTCTCTTTAAAAACCAACCTGAAGGGATGTGGAACTCTGCACATGTAAAGAAGCATGCAGATTGTATAACTATCTGAGTGTATGCAAGTTTCATTTTTGCAGACTACAACAACTGGCCATGTGGTATAATCCTGTTGAATGTCAGAGCAAACTCAAGGGTTTGGATGGTCTACTCTTGTTCCTATTTCTTAAAATTTTATAACAGAATCTGGCTTATATTTAGCCAGTTGTGTGGCAAACTTTGCACATCCTATGCTCCCTCAGATTGCTGTTTTATAAACATAACAGGAAGATAGTTTCCAACTAATTTCTAGCAACATTTTGCATTACTTCTGAGCATTCCTAACATTTTGATGGAAAGTGAATGCTAGAAATTGTCCCATCATATTTATGATATTCATACAAATACGGATAATGTTTTGTAAAATATATCAGTAATAGTACTGAGAACTATACTACGTTTAAACATTCAGGATTACTGTTTCAATCCTTTCTCACAGACAGAAGAGATTTTTGTCTATAATTACAAATCACTCAACTCTGCAAAATCATGGATGAATTCCTTTCAACAATCCCATTCTCTAGAGAAATCACATTCACAGTGGAAAGCTTTGTATTTTGTCAGTTTGAATGAAACTAATAGTGTTTTGGTAATTTGCACTGCAGTTTTTGAGATTCTCACAATTTCTGGCATGATAATTGTTCATTTTACTTCAATTTCAAAAACAAGGATGTTTTTACCCTCTTACCTATGGTTTCTTAGGATCATGTACATTGTTGTGCTTTAAACATCCTGCCTTCTTAAACTATCATTATCTTTGCAGAACCAGTTCAAATTAACTATTTGACATGTTAGCATTCCTGTTCAAAGGAACTAGGCAGTAATAATTTGCATTCTCATAACATTATTCATGAAAAGGAATGAAATTACATGCAACGACCAACTTACAGTAAACAAGTAAAGGTAAGGTTGTGAGTTGGTGTATCCATTATGATCATTGAAGGCATCATACAAGCAACATAGCAATCCAGTAATTCTTAATGATATTTCATCACTTGTTATCAACCCTTTATCAACATTGGAGAGGGTGTAAACAGCCTTATCAGCATGAGTATCTGCAGTTATGTAGACTAAGGAGAAGCTAGGATTTTTCTTCTTTAAAAAGGGTAAGAGACATTTTAAAAGAGGTGTTCAATGTTATGTATAATCTTGATTAGAATAACTTTTCCACTGGTAGAAAGGTTGACAAACAAAAGTCACAGAATTAAGGCTACTGGCGATAGAAATGGGGGGAGATAAGAATTTTTATGTGCCAGTTTATGATCTGTAAGCGTGGTGAAAACAAGATTCAGTTGGAAGTTTCAAAAGGAAATTCAGCATAATCAATATTTTTAATCAACCCATTCAGACATGTTCAGACACATATCTGGGACAGCTAGCATTTGAAGCTCAACCTTCTGACCCAGAGGCAGGGAAACTGCTACTGCACTGCCAGGGCTCTTATTGTTCGCAGTCCTCCAGCACTTATTCATGTTGTGAGTGAGACAAGAAATAGCAGAAGATGGTTTGAATCCAGCATTTCCCTCCCGTGACATTCTGCTGCCAATTAGGAGCAAGGAGTTTGTTAAATAGATTCTGCCCCTAGTTCAAAGAACAGGTACAGATGTAATGGAGGCTGAATGGCCTCCTTCTGTGCTGTAAGATTCTCTAATGTTCCTGCACTGGCAGCAGAGATAACCTTTTATTGATAAAGGAGAACTCCTCTGACATGTGGGCCACCATGAAAACTTGAAAGTAGATTATCGTAGTAAACAATTATAAGATGACAAAGATCGATTGGATTTTGCTGATTCACTTTGTGGTTGATTAGTGAGAATCAAGCAGATTGAACGAACAGAAGTAGATCCCATCAGATGTGAGATAACAAGGTGTAGAGCTGGATGAACGCAGCAGGCCAAGCAGCATCAGAGGAGCAGGAAAGCTGACGTTTCGGGCCTAGACCCTTCTTCATTTTTTCTGA